ATCAAAACAACAATGAGATACCACCTAACCCCAGTCAGAATGACTAAGATTAAAAAAACAAAAAAAAAATCCTATAAATGCTGGTGGGGGTGTGGTGAGAAGGGAACTCTCTTACACTGCTGGTGGGAATGTAAATTGGTCCAGCCACTGTGGAGAACAATTTGGAGAGTCCTCAAAAATCTACAAATAGAACTACCATACGATCCAGCAATCCAACTCCTTGGTATCTACCCAAAAGATAGAAGAATACTTATTTGGAAAAGTGTTTGCACATCGATGTTTATTATGGCACTATTCACAATTGCTAAGTCATGGAAACAACCCAAATGCCCACAAACAGATGAATGGATAGAAAAACTGTGGCACATATACTCAATGGAATACTATTTAGCCATAAAAAAACAACAAAACCCTGGCTTTTGACAAGAAGTCTATGAATATGGAATATTTACTGCTGAGTGAAGCAAGCCAGGCTATGAAAGAGAAGCACTGTATGTCCCCACTTAATATATACAAAATGTCAGCACTCTATGACTAAAACTAATTGACTAAAGTATATAAAAATACAGTATAAAAATGTAAATATAGTGTGTGTGAAAGAGGAGGGTCTGAGGAAGGATATTTAGAAGAAAAAGAAGGAGGCAAAGCATTAATTGCACAAAGAAATGTGGTATTATCTGTTGAAGATATTTTGTAATTTTATCAACTGTACTAGGGAGAAATGTTCACCTGTTGAAATATCCATTTTGTAAGCCAAATAATAGTGTGATTGAATGTATAAAATAAAATAATTTAAAAAAGAATATAATGCAAATCTGTTGTTTGGATTATAGGACCTTATGTGGCCAGACACTGGCAGCAACCTCTTTTTTTATCACTTCCTTATGTACATTCTGTTCTAGTGACATTAGCCTTTCATTCTTCTTTTATTTTTAAGAAAGATTTTTGCTATTGGGCACGTGCACTTGCCAGAGTGACAGAGAGACAGAAATCATCGCTGAAGGAGGATGGCCATGCCACAATCCCTTCTCCTCCATTTTCCTCTCAGGATTTTTGGCATGCATGAACATGTGCCCAGCGTGAGTTTTAAACTGCTGGGTCCAACACTCAAATCATGGTTGACTATGTGGAAGTCCAACAATGTAACCATTAGTTCCTCTGCCTGTCCCCCATTCTTCTTTTATGTTACCAAATGTGTTCTCACCCCATAACCTTTACCCTTTTTGTCTCTTCTCTCACTCTCTTGGAGCATTATTCTTTACTAGATATTAGGCTTGCTTTCATTCCTTTTCAAGACCTCTCTTTAAATGTTACTCCCAAAGAGATTTTTCTAAGCCACATAGAATAGCACCCCTTGGATTTCTATTATTTTGTGCAGGTTTTGCTATTTGATTACTGAAATGTTTAAATATGTTATATCTCCTAAAATAAACTTTTAGGTATGAACTACTTAAGACAAATGTACATATTCTAAGTGAAGAACTCAAAATTTCATAATTAGCTCCAAAATTATTCTAGACTGATCACACCAATGTGCTTACTTATAGATCATGATAGAGTATAATAATAAAAAAACTTGCCCAGAATGTAAATCAAAAAATTAAAAAGTAGTACTACCAAATGATGTAGCAATTCCCCTTCTGAGTATATACCCATGGGAAATGAAATCAGTATCTCCAAAAGACACCTACTTGTCCATGTTCATTGCAGCCTCATTCACAAGAGCCATATTTTGGGAACAACTTAAGTATCTTTATAAGGATGAACAGATGAAGAAATTATGATATAATATCTGTTATCAATAATTATATAGTATATGATGGAATATTATTTGCCTTAAAAAAGAAGGGAATTCTATCATTTCGAATGACATGGATAAACCTGGTGAGTATTCTGCCAAGTAAGATGAGAGAGGCAGAAAGAGATAAATATAAGTAAAAAGAGATAATTTCACATTTATGTGGAGTTTGAAAAATATTGAATTTGTAAAAGCAGTGTTGGTTAATGAGCAGAGGGTAGATTGGGGTAGAAAAATGTAGAGATGTTTGTCAAAGGACACAAAATTTTAATTAAATAAGATGAATAAATTATAGAGATCTAAGGTACAGCATGGAGACTACAGTTAATTATACTCTATCGTGAATCTGCTAATGGTGATCTTAAATGTTCTCATCACACACACAAAACAGGCATATATGTTAAAAGATTATATATATATAT